TGGGGCACACGGCCATGGCGCTGGGCAGCCGGCCAGGGCCAGCCCGCAAGGAGGGAGGACTGCGAAAGGTGCTGCCAACCCCGGGAAGAGGACAACCGTCTGGGCCCAGCCCCTCACACTATGCTAAGGGAGAGGAGGAGGAGGAAGGTGACAGATCAGTGCGGAATCTCCCAGTGCAGAGATTTACTGTGCTGGTGCAGGAGGATCAGGGCCAGCGCTTGAGGATGGTGCATGGCTGCTCTCATAGCATCTTCTGGGCTGGCTGTAAGGGTTTTGGGCCCGACGCTGCAAGCAGGAGCAGTCTCTCACCCTCTCAGGCCCAGGGCGGCTGGAGCAGAGGCTGTCCTGCAGTGCTGAGGAGCCACAGAAAGACCCTGATGGCACCTGGCTGCTGGTCTCTAGTGCTGGAGAACTGAGAGTGCCCCGATGCCACCTCGCTGCTGGTGCTGGTGTCAGGTACTGGGGAGCCATAGGAAGACCCTGATCCTGACTGGCTGACACCGGAGATGGCACCCAGGGACTTAGCACCCCATGTTGGCACCTCGGGGCCTCAACGCCTCAAGCCATCACAGAATCGCAGACTAGTGAGGGGTGGAAGGGCCCTCTGGCAATGATCTGGTGCCATCCCTGCCAGAGCAGGATCACCCAGAGTTCACCCAGAAGCACATCCAGGGGTTTGAACGGCTCCAGAGAAGGAGACTCCACAACCTCTCTGTGTTCCAGTTTGTGACCACTGCCCCTTGTCCTGTCACGGGGCACAACCAAGAAGAGTCTGGTCCCCTCCTCCTGACACCCACCCTTGAGATATTTATAAACATGAATGACATTCTCCCTTAGTCTCCTCCAGGCTACAATGGCACGGGTACTTGGAGCCAGTGCCACACTCCACTCCCGTGCTGCAGAGCTGTCCTGCATCCTGGCAGGACCCAGAGAAGTAGAAGAAAAGGCAAAAACCTCATGGGTTGAGATAAGAACAGTTTAATAGGACAACTTAAGGAGAGGAGAAATAATACTACTACTATTAATAAAAGAATATAAAAAGTGAGTGATGCACGATCAGCTGCTCACGACCTGAAACCCAATAGGCAGCCCATGCTGTAGCCACAAAATCTGCCCCCAATTACACACTGAGCATGATGGCAGCCAGTATTGACTAGCCCCTTGGCTAGTTCAGGTCAGCTATCCTAGCTGTGCCCCCTCCTAGCTTCTTCTGAAAATTATCCCTATCCCAGCCAAACCCAGGACATTTATGTCAACTAAGTAGTTTAGGCTTTGTTTGTTAGTTTGTTTTTCTGTTTGCTTTTAATTGGTCTCTTCCAGAGCTCAGTGTCTGGCCAAACCTGAGGAAAGGGAGCAGATCCTCGCAGAGGGCAGAGCCAGATCCTGCTACAGGGGCCATGCACAAACCCTGCTTACATCCTGCTGGCTGCACAGCTCCAGGGACAGGGGTTTAATGACATGGCCCCAGTGGCTCTGAGGCCAGGGGGTTAGGAGCCACTGGGGGCTTCGGGGCTGGGGGCTGCAGCCCTCCGCTTCAGGGGGATGATGCAGATGCTGTTTTTGGCTTCTTTGAAAGCCTGTAGAGGAGAGATGGGGGTTACCCTCTGACAACCCCTGGAGGAAGGGGGGCTGTGTTCCCCAGCAGCGCCAGGGACAGGGGACAGTACCGGTGCTCCTGCCCAAGGCCGGCCACCAGGAAGTCACCGGCTGCTGAGAACTTGAGGCTGTTGACAAAACCCACCTGGAGGGGACAGGGCAGGGTGAGGGGCTCCCACAGCCGCCTCACCCTCTGCCTGGGGTGCTCCCTCAGCGAGGAAACCCCCCCAGCCCAGCTCCTGCATCCCCAACCTCCCCATCCATACCAAGGGGATGTCCCAGAGACGCTCCAGCTTCCGAAATCCCTCACCGCACTTCCAGAGCTTCACATTGCCACTATGAGAGCCTGGGGCAGAGAGAAGAGACTGCTGTGCACCCCAGCCCAGGGAAGGGAGTGGGGACCCCCAAACCCCTACTCCCAAGCGGCTGCCACAGAACCGTAGCCCG